CCCCCCAGGAAATTTGGAAACCCCCTCAGATAGGTCTCTGGATCCGCCACTGGTAAATGATGATAGGCTGGTGGATGAAGTGCCCTATGTCATAAAAATGTTCTCTGAGTTCAATGTGCAAGTTGATGTCACGGGGATTACCCAGCCGGACGGTTGGTTGTTAAAAAGTGTGTGACCACGAGGAAACGATTGCGAGTCGGAAGACAGCATTTAATATGACAATGTTATAAGTTAATTTTTTTAATTTTCAAATTAGAAAGAATAATAATAATAGTACAATGGTGCACCATTTATGATTTTTGTAATGTTTATAATTATTTCTGGCAACTACGTTTTCTCGGAGAAGGGGAAATAACTCTTCTCAGAAACGGTACTATGCGTAGTAATATGAAGTGGTCATTGTGTGTGAAATCAGCTGACTGGTTGCACGAGAATCGTTGTATTCATAGTGTATTCGTAGTCTTATGGCAGTTGTTTTCAGTTGGTAGATTCATGTACAGACCAAACATCAAGAATGTAAATTTAAGGATTTAACTGCTTTAGAAAACGTAAAATTCCAACTTGACAAAAGTAAATTTCAACATGAAGTGTTAGCCATCGAATACGCACTTAGGCGCGTCGTGACTATCTCTCTGCAGTTCTATTCAGTGTTATATAGGACTGTAACTCCAAAGAGCATGCAATTCGTTATATATAAAATATATTATCATAAAGATTTTAATACATGATTTTTACAATAAACTGATATTTAAATTGAATTTTTTCTTTTAAAAATCTTCAGGTTAAATTAAATTAATGCCAGAACATATAACAATCTATATCGGCCAACTATCGCCAACGTTGCCATTATTGCGTCACAAATGTTTTGACGTCACGATTGATGGTCTAAATGATAACTGATTTTGGTAGGTTTATTTAGTGGCAATGCATTGTTAATGGAAATATATCAACTTTAAATGCCATGGCCCCATTGTTATGTAATCACCATCAATATGACGTCATAATTGAAACGTTGGATACCAATGACCCTTCCTTGAAGATGAATATTCTTTTCATTTATTTAAACTTAATTTTGAATTTAGACAAAACATATGTGAGATTAAAAAATGTAATGTATTGAACAGCATTTTTAAAGTTGGCATTTATTTCAATAAAAATGCCAAATGTAAAGTTACAAATTCAACATGGAGGCTTGTGTCCTTAATGGATTTTTTACAATCCAGTTGGCATTAATATTGACTATGGACGCCAACTTGAATTGGAGGTAGTTCAATGCTTTGATATTGACCACACCGTGATAATGTCCCGTTATAACCATTATTTATTTTCAGATTGCATTTATATCAGCTATAAATGACTTATGTTGACATATTCCCGTCATTATTATTACGTCATAATTGTAACAAGCGTGTAAAAACAAATGTTCAATTTTGATAAATCAGAGACTTTATATGTCTCTGGATGAATAAAGTAAATTTTCCGTGATATTTTATTAAACTAATATAAGTATTGAACAGCTTTCAGTTCGTATATAACGTCAATATGTTTTCATTTGGCATTCTTGGACTTCATCACGTTGTAGGTGGCATTAATACTTTCCCGCCTCCGTTTTTAATTCTATTTTCTTGACAGACCTCAATTCTGCGGTTTGATTGGTTGATATCGGCGGGGGCGTTTAAACTATGGAGAGAAAGAAGGAGCGAATGCTTTTGAGACACGTGTAGAAAAGAGCTGTTAACTGAGCTGTAAAACGTTATCATTGATAACAAATAATAGCAATAGTTTTTTATAAAACCGAACTTGAAACCAGTTTCTTAATAATATGTCTTGATAAACCAAAAATGAAAATAGACAATATTAAATGGTTGGCGACTTTGGTCTTCCGTACGCACAGAGAAACACAAACCACGTAAACATCACTGAAGCTAGTGCGTGATTGGGGTCTTGAAATTGTATTGTTTGCTGAACTCAAGAGAAATGTCAGCTGCAGAAGGAGCGGACTTGAAAGGGGGACATCCCCCTGCAGGTAAAAACAAGAACAGATAGAAATTCAGCTCAACGTAAACAGGTCTAAAAAGACCGCCAGCTGCCACCCGTACGACAGCATGGAGGACTGGGGGCCATATTTCCTACACGGACTGTTTGGGAACGAAGACTTTTTCGATATTTGATTCCTATTGTTTGTTCGTTCATTATAGCCTATTACCTAATGTTTTAGTCTTTTACGTCTTCTTTGAAAACAGGTCTTCGTTTTATGACGACAAGTTACATTTTAGATGTGGCAACGCATAAAATTTGCTGGAAGTAGGTCACAAGAGATAGGGCGATGACCCCAGATGAACCCATACATATGCTTGCTCCTGCACGTGTGCATTTCCCGACAGACACGAGCCAGTGACTCATGTCTTTTAATTTATTCAGCGCCATGCATACGCAAAGCTCATTGTTATAAAGTTAGTTTGCACAGAGTTGCATGTAAATTTAATTATCTCTGTTTTTTAAATGACCTTAGAGTTAGACCATCACATGTACACATTTTGAAATGGTTAATATATATGGTATGAAACCAGACTTTAGACATTTTGACACACACATGTTTTACGCCAGACTTAGACAGTTTGACAGATACATGTGCGAGACATTTATCTGTCAAAATGTCTAAATCTGGTGTCAAGACCAGAGGTAACTGGGGCTAGGCAGGGCCAAGATGGTTGCCCAGCAGTGAGGGGCCAGCTTTCACGGGTAGCATATGGCCATCCAGGTATCAACAGCTTTAACTTCAGCATTATCAGAAGAAATTGCGTTCAATTTCCTAGAGCTATAACAGCGTAAGGTCACCAAAATATTTGCTTCCAACAGTTTTCTCATGTTATTGAAGGCGGGGGCAAAGCTTCAAAATGACACTAATCAAATTGCATTCATACTTCTATATGTACCATCGTATGGCATAAATGATACTTATATCAGGTACAGTACACTCTGCCGATTGAGCTGTAAAGACCTATAATAGCTCTATTGACCTTTCTGATATAGGTCTTTTGAGCTTGTGATTTTCTGTTTTTAAGGAAAACGAAACAGCCGTTTGAAAAAGAAGTTTTTATTAGGCAAATGATAACAAAAGACATTAAATATCAGTATAATTTTAAAAAATGATGTGAAAAAATCGGAAAGTTTACGAATTTATGAAATATTAAAATAAACATCTAAATGAATGCTTTTTGTAGTCAACATTATCATAAATCTTATTGTTTTATGCGACTTTACTTTTATTCAATGAAAACTGAATTAGAATATATAGCTCAATACAGCTATAATTTATAGGTGAATATAGCTATAGGTCTTTATAGCTATATAGCTCAATGGGCAGAGTGTACTGCACCTGTATATAACCCTACCAAATTCAGTTAGCATTGGATGCCATGGACTGATTGTTGATGTCATCATTGTTCAGTTGGATACCACTGACCCTCCCTGGGCGATGGCTGTTCTATTTATTGAACAAGTTTACACAATACATACATTATTTGGACTAAATTCTGAATAATTAATATTGTAATTGAATTTTGAATGAGATGAACGGATTCCAAAATGGTATATATAAATATTGAACTGCTTTCAGTTGGCATTCATAGGCAAAGGCAAATCCAACATGAAGAGCTAGCGTGCTTCAATAAAATTGCCTTTGTCCAGTTGGCATTTACATTCATATAACCGATAAATGCCAACTGAAAGCAGTTCAATGCTTGAATAACTACATGTTCACCATTGATATAAAAGCCCTTAATTGTTGATCACCTAATACTGTATAACAATTAAGGACTTTTATTTTGATGATGTCCACATTACTAACCTCCAGGCAATACCCAGGGACAATATGACAAAGCAATGATGTCATTTTTTATTTCGGATGTAAGGAAAACATGCCATATTTTTTTTATTTTTTTTTAATGATTCTTTTGGGGTCAGTTTATAATATTGCAAATTACAGTAAAGGATGGAGGTATATATTACTGAATATTATGTGTTACAGTAAAGGTATGATGTATATATTATGCAATTATGGACTTCAGTTTTGGTCTAATCCCCGATTTACAGACCTGGTCTGAATATTGTTCAGACCAGGTCCGTAAATTAGGGATAGACCGAAACTGAAGTCCACAAATGTTTTATCATATGACATTTTATTATGAGATTAATCATTTTTCAAGTCTTAAACACATGGATGGCATGGACCATTTTTCATCCCAGAGTGAAGGACTTCCAATACAAAATAACATATCCACAAATTCAATTTCAGATTCAATTCATGTGATATTTAATTTCAAGTAAATATTATTTACACAATCGACATCATTAATTTTCACGTAGTTCAGAATTTGATGAGATAATTGGTAACAGAATTACAGCCTGGCTGGGAAATTACCTAGGCCTATTTTTAGTAGCGGTTAGTAACACTTTTCTATTTATAGGTTGAGGTCCGTTACACTTTTCTATTCATAAAACGAGGTCTGTAACATATTTACAGACTTGTCACATGACGTCGCTCTTCCAATCAGGGCTGGGAATTAGCACCAGTCATATAATAATACCGTATATTATGTGTTACAGTAAAGGTATGAGGTATATATATATGTGTTGCAGTAAAGGTTGGAGGAATGCGTGTAGTTCAACACAAGGATGGGAAGGAAAAACCAGCAGAGCAACTGACCAAAGAGGAACAAGAGGAGTTTGGAACTAGGTCAGTGTATTCTAGTGTTTAAACATTTGTCCGTCTTATCCGTCCTAATCAACTTTGACAATCATTTCCACATTCTCTTAGGTGTCAACCTCTCAAACCTCCAATGAGAGGGATCTCCCTCTTTCAACATTTCCAATAAGGGAGAAAGTGCATGTAATGGGACTGAAACTGTCTAGCTCAATTTATCTTTCCTTTTTTTAGCTCACCTGACCCGAAGTGCCAAGTGAGCTTATGTATGTCATGGTGCGGTGTCTGTCCGCCATCCAGCATTAGGGTTATATGATATTTTACTTTAAATAAACAACTTCTTAATAACCAAGAGGCCTAGGATGATGATATTTGGTCAGAAGCAAACTGGAATGAAGGGCTACCAAGTTTGTTCAAATAAATGACCTTCATCTATTTTCAAGGTCACATGGGTCATATATATGTTAAAACCTTTAAAACATAGTCTTCTGAATAACCAAAAGGCCAAGGGTAATGATATTTGGCCATTAAAATGCTGGGATGAAGGACTACCAATTTTGTTCAAATGAATGACCTTTACTGATATTCAAGGTCACAGTAGTCAATATATGTTTAAATCTTTAAATGACCTGTTCTGTATAACCAAAAGGTCCAGGGTGATGATACTTTGCCAGAAACATGTTGGGTTGGAAGACTATAAACTCAGTTCAACCTAGTGTCCTTGTTCGACATTCAAGGTCACAGGTATCATATGTTTCAATCTTTTAATAGGTTCTTATTAATCAAACACTGATATTCTGCCTGTAGCTGTATTTAAGTCCACTTTTAAGATTACAAGTGTGATATTAATACCAGGTGAGCGATTCAGGCCCATTGGACCACTTGTTATGTATCTAAATAGCCCCAAAAAGCATTGATTTGATTCAGACACACATTGTTATGATCATTACACACACTCTGCAGTAACTAGGAGATCATTTGACCACAGATGTAGATTTTGAGTTTGAACTTGAATGAAGGAGAGTTTCAATGGAGATTGATCTCCGTCCTAATGAGGGAGGGTTGACAACTATGCGTTCTGTACAATTGCAGTCATATCTACCTGAATTTAATGATTCATATTTATGTACATATGACAAAATCTAAATTCCCCATTGTTGATACAATTTAACCTTTTACATTTAATTACTATTTTTTTTTATGTTGTTCGCTAGTGTCCATTGTAATAATAAATTAACACCCAAAACAGGCAAAAATAGCGAGGCAAAAATTAAACTGTGACGGGGGCCAAAATCTCGGTATATAGTATTGAAAACATTACATGATCCCTTCACATTTTGCTTATTCACGAGATTGAAATGCTATTATTTTCTTATTTTTCAGTCCTCCAAAGTCAGACACACATCACCAGTCGGTGTTAGTTGGTGGAACAATCACACAGGTAATGGAAATCCTTAAATTACATTAACTCATCATTCACCCCTGAAATTTTATAATGAACTAGTCCAACCTTTGAATTGGAGGAGTTCAAATGTGTCTTCAGGGGAAGAATGAATTAATGAAGGGCTTTATAGTTAACTTGTATTGGAACAATCACACAGGTTATGTAAATCATTGAAGAAGGGCTTAATTACCTGTACTAGAAATGAAAACATTCCAGTATATATGGTACGTTTCCTGATTGTAGCTTCATGATACTTTCATATTATCAGTCATAGTTATTGAGGGTGATTCAGGGGGTCTCTCAATTTGTTTAAGCAAATTCCATATAAAGATCAAATAAAAAACCACAAATGTCTGCAAAAACCTTGAAACATATCAAGTCCGTAGGTTTGAGGTCCAGATCCGGAGCGAGTCGGGTTTCTTTTGCGCGTTGCTGTGCACATACCACATATTTGTTGATGTCATTGGTTTTTATATAGCAGATGGTGAGATGTAATAAGATTGACATTTTTGGTAAAACACAATTAAGTTGTAACAAGTTATAGTCTCCACAAGCACATTTCCATGAAGGCTTAAAAAAAAAATGATAAGGGATATAAATGGCAACTGGTATATGGTTCAGCTTTCCAAATTCTTTTCTGCAGATCAATCTCATTAGGAACCCATCAATAGCAAACCTTATAACCCTGTCACCACCATAGACTATAATGGACTCATCCGTATCAATACATGGTAGAGTCTACTAAAGTTACATAGGGATAAAAAGGTTAAAAGTTGAGCTATAAATAGGTATTTAATGGCCAGTTTTGGTCATATACTTTATTATTGATGCTAATGGGTTTCTGATTCTGAAATAATGGTAATCAGAAAACACCAAATTAATGGGCTGATATCTAACATTATGATTTTACCCTTAAAAATATTAAAATGACCATTTAATTATAAGGCCAAATAAAACTATCGTATGTTTTTCTGACTACCCAACCTGCAATAATATTTCATGCATACTCCATTTTCTTTTTTGCAATTATCAAGGAAGCACTGTTTAAAGTCAAGATCACTCCTGTATATACCTGATTAAGATATATACTGTAAAAAAAAAACAATTAAAAGACATTATCACCTACTAGGTACCCTATATTTGTAGAAAGGTTATATATCACAACAAGTTCTGAACTGAGATGAGTGGACTCATATATTCTTGCACCTCTATGACCTTTTATTAAACCTTTCACCCCTACATAATAACTTAAGTAGATTCTTACCATGCATTGATCTGGATGAGTCCATTAAGGTCTACAGTGGTGAAAGGGTTGAACAAAATCTAAGCGAATCATATTGTCAGTTTGATTCATCATTTTGTACACATACATGTATGACAACTAAAACTTATATAAATGTATCCGAATCAGCATCAATTTTATTTTGCCAACTCGTACATATTTTACACCTTTGTGTAGATAAGCTTCACTGGTCATTAGTCTGATGAAGGTAACAAATCGTTTTAGCAACCCGAGGAAAATGTTTAGAAATAATACCTTCCCTAAACTTTTCAAGACATATTACATGAAACAAACGTTTGGCCTAATTATTTATGCTTCTATATATGTCATTAGTTAAGGTAGTGTTGGGAATCGGTTGAGATTTCAACACCGATGATCGGATATAATCGGTTAGTGTCAACCGATCGATTTTCGGTTATTAAACGGTTAGCCTACCGTTACATAATCCTCAAAAAAAACTGTTTTTTAACAATGGCATGGCTTTTCTTTCTAATAATGCTACTAATGAAATTTCAACTTTGAAGCAAACCTGAACACTTTTGTTTGCAATTAATTATGTTTAAATAGCATGATTGGTAAGAAGTTATAGTTCAGAGTCGGAGTAAAATGACATAGAACTCCTGTCTCTCTTAGTGAAAACGAAAGTAGAACTCGCACTTCCGGTTTTGAAATCAATCATCGATGTTGACATCTCATAATCGATTGGCGGGAATCGGTTGCCTTTCCGATTAGATATCGATTATAAACGATCATCGTGACAACACTAAGTTAAGGTATTATTATTACAATAATTACAATAAGTTTATATAATAATACTAATTATTTTGTGAATGACCCAAGCAACTAAACTAGATGAACAGACCACATGGGCTTTGTGAACAATGTTTACTTGCCGAAATAAACGCAATTTAAATTCCAATTTAATCCGCCTTGCTACTTCCAGTCGCCATTTTGTAAACAGGACCTAATCTCGAGCTGATGCGCGTTTGAAAGAGTTTAAAGTATTGCAAAGCTTCTAAACGATCGTGCCCAGAACATACTCTCTAAGGATGATGTTTTAGATAAATTTACTATCAATTATTTACTATATTTCTTTTCTGTATCACTTTCATTAATTCATAAAAGAACAAATTTATATTTCCCCCTTCAAACTTTTTTCTTTCAAATGTTAAAACACATTTTATTGGAAAAAATGTTCTAGTAATTATAATAATTATTATTATAATTTGGTATGACTTGTTACAGAAAGAATAAACAAATTGTACCAATATAACGTTCTCTCTGTATTTCCTGTGTTTTTGTTAAGTAAATTTTACAACAGCCTGTTTCTTTATGAATTGGGGGAAAAAAGTATTATTTGTATTGAAATTGGGAATATATTCCTCAGTTTTTGGTCATTTTGGGAAAATTAGACACTTTTTAGCTAGGGAAAACAGCCTGTATTCGGCATCGGCAGTAAGCAAAAATGAAATCTGATTTCTCATTTTACATGTTGTTTACTTTCAGGGAGACAAAGATTTCCCCCCAGAAGCCGTCAAGCATTATCACAACAAGCCACTACCTACACATGATACTCGTCCAGCCGCGAAAAACTTCAACATCCAACAACCTCGCTGAACAGAATGAAAAATGATATCATTCTCGTATCGAACTTGAGCAGGGACTCGTTCACAGAATATGAGATGACAACAATTTGGTTGAGGGAAAAGATAAAAAGAATATGATTAAATTGAAATGTGAAGCAAATAACTTCAATGTGGAAAACATAAGAATAGTTGAAAACGGTGTTCAGAAACAAAAGACAGATTTGGGTGTTGGAAATCATTGTACATCAAATATTACAGTATTAAACTGTTACAAATTGAAGAAGGAGAAAGAGATAAGAAAATTGTTTAAGTGCTAAGTACATATTGTATACTTTATTTGGATAGTTTCTGTTATTCATTCTGAACGTATTTCTGATTGAATAATTTTATAGATATTAGGTTCCCATAAATATATTATGGACATGGTTGTCTTGAAGCAGTTTTGGTATAATTTTTGATTAAAATTAATAGTGCTAACAAGAAGAAATTGTCAGATTTCATATTGATATATATATTAAAAGATATTTTCAAACAAATGTTTGCTTTAATATGGGGACCAGTGATATTTGAGAGGCATGTGAGTAGACATATGGATGCGTAGTTACTAGTACCCCAATCTGCTTTGTAAGAGCGAAAATTTTAGCTCCTCGCAAGTCAACAAATGGTTCATGTAATTATTACAACTGTTTGCGCTATCAGTTTTGTTGTGAAATCGCTGAAATAACTCGCTGCTAAAATTGAATATGGAAACAGCCTTATAGAGGTGTATTTATTGAAAATTAAAATTCCAATTCTTCTCAAGGCGTCTAGTCATTCTATTAGAAATGTACTCGTAAAGTTAAAAGTCGGTTTGAGACCACACTGTTCAAGTTCAGATCTACTTTATATAGGTACATGTAATGAAATGAAAATGTTCCTCCACTTATCCTTAACCCATAGTTTTTATGGGGTGAAACCAGAAACATGATTGTTTATTTTTTTGAGATTATTTAATGAGGGTTAATCGCATGCATTTTTCAGTTCTCAAGTTTGTTTAGAAGTTTTTTTTGTGTATATTTATTGGAAAAAAAAGTGTTTTATGGATATTTACATGTTTGATTACCCATTCAAACCCCCCTGTATTCAAAATTAAGTTTTGAGCATCCTTGTATGAATTCTCTTAAAGCGTTGACTTTGGATCAATTTCTTTTCACATTTTTTCCTGTGATTTATTTGCATTTTTGCTCGTTGTTCTGTTTATTTTTGTTTTGCATTTATATACGCAATATCAACTTTTCAAACTTTAAAAAAAAGTTGATTTTTTTTTTTTTTTAAACTTATGCTGAGTTAGTTGCATGTACGGGCATTTTCCAAGATAATTTAATCCTGTCAATAAGGTATATGCTTTAACAAGTAATGGAAATCAAAGCGACTGACACTGTATTCATGGTGGTATATTTATGACTGATGCGTCAGAAAGTGAAAACAAAATTAAGTGTACTTCCTTTGATCAAATTGATGTTTGGATATTTCAAGATTTCATAAATTGACTTGCGTTTACATGCATTCACAAAAATTACAATGTTATTATGATATCAGGTTTGTATGTAGGTGCAATTTATGTGGTCATGCAATTTTTTACACTTTTTGTTTTGCACTATTTGATCATTTAATCAGCTATGTTCTTGTGTAAGATATTGAAATAATCTCTACATGCAAACAATTAAATCTGTTTAAACAGGTCTTGTTTTTTCAGGATCCCTGTCTAAACTGTCTTTGATATTTGGACCTCATAAAAGCGTTTTTTTTAAAACATAATACCAGCTAAACCAGTTTTTACTTTCTTTGTAAATTTTAATAATAATAATAATAGTAATAATTTGAGGTTCTTGTATACCACTTAATCACAACCTAGCTCGTAGGTCGTCTCGCAGCGGTTCACAAATTATCATCCGTGGTTACAGGGCCTTTGCAACCAGCCAATTTCTTTCTCAACTCCCTGGGGAGCATACAGCCGGTGTTGCCATTTCGGCACTCACAGCTAGCATTCAACAGTTCTTGCACTGCCCAGCTACATACTCATTTACAGCTGAGAAGAGTGGAACAAGCGGAGTAAGGTATCTTGCTCAAAGATACAACACGGTGCCATGACGTGACTCGAACCCGCAACGCTTCGGTCACCAGCCCGGCATCCTACCACTGGACTAATGTGCCTCCTATGCTATTACCTTTAATCTGTATACATGTACCCAACATCACTGACTGATCAGTATCAACTGGTGGAAGATTTCTGTCTTGATTCAGTTAAGGATCCCTGTTCCACTACCAAAAACCATAACGAAGTGTTGGAAACGTAGCTCTGACAAATAATTACTGAAAAGAAAACCATACCTTGCGTCCGGGACGTTTATGAGAAATAATAAAAATGACCGAGACAAAAGCATAATCAACAACAGTGTTTTGAAAATAAGAAAAATTCAGTGGAGCTGGACCGAGATTTGAACCCCATAACTTCAGATTGATATTCAAATGGAAGTCAAGGGGAGATTACTGAATATAGGAAAAACCAGTCCAGTGGGCCAGGGATCCTGAAGACAGGTTGTAGTGTATTTCTGACAAGACATTATTACATTCATAGCATGCTGATTACCCTAGGTATGCTAAAGTATTACTAAATACTATTTTTTTTTGCTTAACTCATAACTCCTTCACCCCTACATATTTGAACTGGACTTGCCCAGTCTTTGATTTGGTATGGTTCAAATATGACTTTAGGGGTGAATGAGTTCATATGTTTCAGGATGTTACATATCATGCTGGTTTATTTTGCTTAAACATATTTTTATTTCAATTTCTTCTGTCATGAAATGATATATTTTAAGAGCTTAATTTGTTGAATTGTATTTTTGTATACAATGTTATATTAATTTTAGACATGAGAGATTGTTGGATTGTATATCTATACAAATTTTATGATTTTCTACTTTAAACACTTTCTGTTGAAATTTTGGTCGAACTAGGTGACTACAGGACTGATATGGACTGTTAAACTCCAATATTAATCATGTGAAAATAAAGGCTGTAGACATCAAATCTTGTTTCATATGTAATATGCTGTTGCTCAAAATAAAATTAATCTGAGACTGAGACATGTATAGTATTTTTTTTCATTTCAACCAACTTCATTGTTTAGAAAACAAATTAATTGGACAACAGGCAAGCCTTTATAAGTCCTCACCTCTGATATATTGTGTGATTGTTGCAGTTTACCAGGAGCACATGTACAATGTATACCAAGAAATAATTGATGATTTTGTTTGACCATAGACAAATGTTTACGTCATGTTGATAGCCCTTCAGCCATCCTGGCAACTATTCAGAAAGAGTTGTTTGAAGATTTTAACAGATGATAAAATTGACAGGCCTTCAAACATCATTACCCTAGGATTCTTGGTTATTCAGAATAAATTGTTAAACACATTTGATGGCTGACCATGAATATGGATCAAGTTCATAACTGTAAAAGGAGAGGGAAAATGCACAGCCAGACCGGGGGTCGAACGTTGGACCTTCCAAGCTCTAGACGGATGCTCTACCAATAGAGATATCTGATCCCATAACAGTTTTATGAATACGGGACCAGGTATCCCCTTGTCAAGCAAACACCAAATGCTTGAAACATGGGTTGGTCACAAGCACCACTGTAACATGAAACGAAGAATACACGGCCAGACCGGGGTTCGAATCTGGGACCTTCCTACTCTAGACAGACGCTCTACCAATTGAGCTTTCTGGTCGCCGACGATCGACCCAGTCCAGTTCCGCTACAAGACATTCATACCAGCATAATGCTTGCTAAATATCATCACCTTAGGCCTCATGGCATCCTCGATATCCAGAGGTTACACTTTCGCTCTCTATACCCCTGGAATATGTCATAGCAAAACTGAAGGCACGAAGATGGCTGTTTGATTGGTCTCGGGGTAAAAAGAACCTGACCAATCACTAGGCTGATACCTGACCTTTGAAGATTACAGTGGAGCGACGGCCGACTTCAAAGCCAGTAAGTTTTACCGTTACCGACCGCGAGATTCTTTTGATTGGTTTGATTCTTTGATGTACATCAACAGAATCAAACTTATCTGCCCATCTCGCCCACAAGGTGCTTCACACCGAGCCTTCGATTTTGCTTAGTCCGAATTATTCTGACGTTTTATCGACTTTTTTCATATCGGTCTGTCGTCTAGATTTTGCTATGCCATATTGTGTGAACACTTTTAGGTCTTCTAAATAACCACAAGGCCATCCTCGATATCCAGGGGTTACGCTCACTTTCGCTCTCTACACCCCTGGAATATGTCATAGCAAAATTGAAAACACGAAGATAGCTGTCGGGTAAAAACAAAAAAGACCAATCTAGGCTGATACATGTCCTTTGAAGATTACAAAGGAGAGACGCCCGACTTCAAAGCCTGTCAAATGTTACCGTTACGTGACCGCAAGATTCGTTTGATTTATTTCAAAGAATCGAAGTAGTCTTCTCGTCTCATCAACAAGGTGGCGCACACTGAGTCTTCAATTTTGTTATGACATATTCCAGGGCATCCTCGATACATTTTGTATCCAGGGGCCAGTGAAGTGACCATTCGTATAAGTTCCACCAAATTTTCAACCTAACAGAAATCAAGCATAAACTATTAGTTCGTTTTTGGATCAGTTAGTCTCTGCGTTAAAAAAAAGGGTGCGGGGATCTGGTGTTCGATATTTATAGAAAAAAGGGCTCTAATTTTCAAATGCTCCACTCTTTTCTTATTTAGTCGGGTGAGATGCATATCACAGGGTGCTTCACTTCACTTTCTGTTCTTTCACTTTTTATAATTTCGAATGCTATTTAAAACTTTACCAATGAACAGGCCTATAATTTGATATTATGACACTCGTGTTATTAAATAAATAAAACATAGTTGATTGTAGCTACCTTATAACAAGTTAAACGTTTTGAAAATCGGAGCTCTAGCTACTGTTTTGGTGATCATCTAATCATCTAAATAATTGAAATACCATATTTCGACCCTTTTCAAATCCACCACCTCTTTTTTTATATAGGGGCACGGGCTCATATCTATAGTCTAATTCCGTGATATAGTTGATTCACAAGGGCACGCAACTACGATTAATATTGATATTGTTAGACTCTCAGTCGCTGGGTACCTAATTATATATCCCAATACGGATATAACGTACTCAGCGACTGAAAGTTTAACATCAATGTTAATTGAAGTTGCATGGCCCTGTGGTTGATCCGATCAAGAACCCCATTTCATGATAACCTATCCCTAGCCTTTATTTCTAAAAAAAAACACTCAAACCTATCCGTTATGGCGAACTTTTGCACCCTAATTTTGGCGAGATACGCAAATGACCCAGATAATCATTGCAACGACCAATCGCCTAGTCAAACACCATTTGGATGGTATACTCGTCACACATGCCATTCTAGATTGAACAAGTAGAACACTGATATATATTTTTGATGCTGTCTCAATATTGAAATTTTGAAATATGTAACGTTAGGACATACATTGGAATAAAATAAATAAATAACGTAATTGCATCTACAGTTCAAACAAGACTCGAATCTACTTTAATTTGTTATAACAATTAATGATTTATGAGAAACATAATTTCCATTCATTATTTTATGATGGTAAGTTTATATCTCCTTTAGTGACTTTAATTGTTTACTGTCTATATGATGTATTACAGACAGATTACAGTTATGGGAAAAACAGTGGGATATGGAATTTAACCCGAGCAAGTGCCAGGTAATACACATATCCAGGTCAAAGACGCAAATCCCCACAGAGTATATGCTACACGGACAAGTACTCGAAACTATTCCATATGCAAAATACCTTGGTGTCACCATATCATCAAACCTGACCTGGAATAAACACATCCAAAATGTAAGTAGCCAAGCCAACAGAACTTTAGGATATATAAAAAAAACCATCAAGGTGAAAGACAAAAAGGTAAAGGCTGCAGCGTACACGGCACTGGTTCGCCCTAAATTAGAATATTCTGCCTGTGTCTGGGACCCATACACCCAAGATCAAAGTACACAACTAGAAATGGTCCAGCGCAGAGCAGCTAGGTGGGTGTCTGGCAAATTTTCCCCTCTGGACAGTGTAACAGACATGCTAGGGTGTCTGGGTTGCGAACATTAGCACACAGAAGATCCAAAAGCAGACTGTGTTTATTTTATAAAATAGTCTACCAGACAGTAGCAATCCAAATGCCACCATATGTAGTCCACCCAACGAGACTATCAAGAAATGCCCACCCCCTATCTTATCGGCAAATCCCTACCAATAAGGACTTTTACAAATACTCTTTCTTCCCCCTAACCATAGTCCAATGGAACGCCCTCCCGTTAGGAGCTTGCAGCAGTCCATCACTTGACACCTTCAAGAAGGCAATCAGTGATACTCCCTTTGTTAGGCCATAGACTATGTCAGC